GATTCAAAGAGTATTCATTCTTTATTTTAAGTTTCCTGGTATTAACTTGACTCATTTGTTAAATATTACCTTTCAGAAAAGAAATATGGGTCATAGATTATATTGTTTGGCTTTAATGTATGCCACTTCCTACGTACATTATATTGTAACCTTTTTTTGGGAATATTTTTTAAGCATTCAGAAAAGCTGTAGAATTAACCCAGCTTTTGGAGGCTGAGGTGGAGATTGCCTGAGCTCAGCAGTTCAGAGACCAGGCTGAGCAAAGTGGGCCGTGGTTCTACTATAGAATAAAAGAAATTAGCAAACAGCTAAAATAGAATTGTAGCTGGGCACGTGTGTGTGCTGTAGTCCCAGGGGCTACGCAGGGGCTGAGCAGAGAAATCACTTGAAGGCCCAGGAGTTTGAGGGTTGCTGTAAAGCTGAGGCTGAACCCAGGGACTTAGGCCCAGGCAGACAGTGTGAAACTCTGTCTCAAAAACAAAAAAAAAAAAAGAAAGTTGAAAGTAGATATTCTTTATCAGATTCAGCCAACTGTTAATCTTTGCACCATTGTCTTATCATTTTATTATATTTCTAAACATATTTTTCCTGAACCTTGAGATAGTGTATTACTGCCTTTGAAGTTCTAACTAATTTCGGAGTGTATCCTAGATATTTTCATTATAACAGACCATTTTAGATCCAGTAAATTAACACTGACACATATTCTACTAATAACTTTAATCTAATTATCATTTACCCAAGAATTATTTAAGCTTTTGCTTTTCTCCCGTAATACAAGAGTTCAGTCCAGAATCACAACAATGTTTTCACAGTCTGCTGTAGTTTGCTTTAATCTGGAATGAATTCTTCAGCTTTCTTTTCATGACACTGACATTTGAGAACTACGTCTATTTTTTTGTTGGTTTTGGTTTTTCACAAAGAGAGAGATTACTTGCTCCTGCACCAGGTAGGTGCAGTGTGTGTCATAACCGATTATGCCTAGAACTTCTGGTTCAAGAGTGAATGCTCTATCTCAGCCTCTCCATTGGACTACCAGGCTGCGACAGACCACCCCAAGTAATTTTTTTTTTTTTGGAGAGACAGTGGTCTCCACCTTATGTGCCAAGCTGTGTTGAACTTGGCCTAAGCATCCTCCTGCCTGGCCCCTAATATCGCTGGGGATTATAACGTGAGCCACGCCATGCCTAGCTCTCTAACTGGTTTTAATGGCATTTCCTCTATTGGATTCCGCTATTCCTCACAATGAGATTCAGCCAAGCTGGAAGGATAGCATTTGACACTGTGTTTCCTGAGGGTCATTCCACATGTAAATTTCTTGTGCTGTCATGGGTGAGTGTCAATTCAAATATCTGGAAACTTTCTGCTTCTGACTATAAAGTGGGGGTATCAAGTTTGGATAACCTCCACTTTAAACAATGAAACCTGGAAAAAAACTTATAGGAATAACTATTTTGAATTTGGACATAGCGTGCAAACTGTGACCCTAATAGACAGAAGACAATGTGTGGAGCCCTACCCATAACCCAGTTTTCTGTCAGCACCAATTGTGACTGACGTGCAGGGAGGACCTAGCAGTGTCGAATTCTGCGCTGAGTTGAATGAAAGACGAAGTCTCAGGGAGGCTGAGGACTGCAAGCTTTTAGGACAAGAGTAACTGAGTCGGAGGGTACACAAGAAGGTTCCGAGAATCAACATAGAGTCTGGGCTCGAAATTGGCTTAATCAACCTATGCCCTGCAAGGTGAACACACCAGCAAGAAGCATTTCAAGGGAAAAGAATGATTTGGAAGCTGTTAGCAATAATTCCCGAGTCATGGCAGCCTAAAATTTTTGAATTGTCACAGGCAGAAATGAGGACCAAAGATGGAATCATGAGATTACAGAACTTCAAAGGGCATGATTTAGAAAGGAGACAATTAGCTTTGGTAAAAAGAATATCTGAGATTCAACCCAAAAGAACTTTAAATACATCACATGGATGAGAAGAGGAAAGAGGAAAAAGGAAGGAAGGAAGGAAGGAAGGAAGGAACGAACTTAAACACAAGTATCAAAACAAACACAACTACAAAGATGTTAAAACAAGTATTTAAAATATGATCTATATGATCAAGAATCAAATGAAAACATGAACATAAAAAGCATAAAAATGGAAGATATACTTCTAGAGATGAAGAACATAATATTTGAAATAAAAATCTCACTGGATGGGATTAATAACATATTAGATATTGCAGAAGGAAATGTCACAGCAACAGAACAGATCATCAGTGACCTGTGGGACAGTATCAAATGAACTATCATAAATAACTGGAATCCAGAAGGAAGGGTCAGAAAAAATCTGAAAAATTAATAACTAAAAATATTCAAAATCTGATAAGAACTAGAAACTCACAGATTCAAGAAGCTTAACAAATCCTGAGGAGAAACACAAATCAAAATGAAGCACATCATTAAAAAACTGCTGAAAAAATCTTAAAATAAAAAAAACCTTAAAAAGCAGCCAGAGTAAAACTGCTTCAGAGCCTTCAAGCAAAAAGATAAAATCACTTACAAGAGCAAATGAATTAGACTGTCATCAGACTTCTCAAAAACAAATAAACAAAAAGCAAAATAACAATAAAGTAGCATTTCAAGAAACCTAAGGAAGAAAGTATGACCCAAGGATTGTATCTATCTTTCAAGTATCCAAGCTACAGAATAGGTTTTGGATATGTAAGAACTAAGGAAACAAAACATATAATTGGCTGAGTGGGGTGGCTTACACCTGTAATCCCAACAATTTGGGAGGTTGAAGCAGGAGAATCACTTGAGGCCAAGAGTTACACACTACCTGGGCAACATAGGGAGACTGTCTTTAAAAAAAGAAAAAAAAAAATTAGCCAAGCATGGTGACATCGGTAGGCCCAGCTACTTGGGAGGCTGAGGCAGGAGGATTGCTTGAGCCCAGGAGTTTGAGTATGCAGTGAGCTATGATTGCACCACTGTACTTGAGCCTGTGCAACAGAGAGAGACCTTGTCTCTAATAAAAAATATATATGTAAACTGAAATTGAAAAATAAAAGTGAAAACTGACAGAGCTGGAAGGAAAAATACACAAACTTCTGACCTAATACACAAGTTTCTGGCCTAAGTTCTGCTTTATTGGGTATTAGGACTGCAGCCCCTGCTTTCTTATTATTTCCATTACCCTACTGAATTACTGCTCTAGCTGTATCCCTATTATGCAGAGTTGGGTTTTGCTTTATAAGACAACTTTAAAATATTTTTCTTTTAATAGATGGGTTAAGCCCACTCACATTTATTGATGTCACTGATATGTTTGGTCTCAATTCTGTCATGCTATGTTTTTGTTTTTTTTAATTTCTCTATCTTTTAGGAATGTTTCCTTTGGTTTTAAGGAAGCTTATAATTTTTGTTTTAATGGCTACATCTGTATTTAGACTTTTTATATTGCTGTAACTGCTTTTTCTTATTTTTTTTTTTTTTTTTTTTGAGACAGAGTCTCATTCTGTTGGCCCCTGCTAGAGTGCCATGGCATCAGCCTAGCTCACAGCAATCTCAAACTTCCCGGCTCAAGTGATCCTTCTGCCTCAGCCTCCCAAGCAGCTGGACTACAGGTACTCACCACCATGCCCAGTTAATTTTTTCCATTTTTAGTAGAGATGGGGTCTTACTCTTGCTCAGGCTGGTCTTGAACTCCTAAGCTAAAGTGGTCCTCCCGCCTCGGCCTCCCACAGTGCTAAGGATTACAGACAGGCCTGAGCCACTGTGCCTAGCCCTTAAACCTTTTTTTTTTACCATCTAGTCTGTCCATTTTAAATAGCATCCTTTGACTCACACCTATTACTATGAAACAATCAATTACATTACTCTACATTTTCCTTTCTCTCTTCTCCCATTTTCTTTTAGGTACAATCTTACTACTTCATTAGAAGACATGATGTTTATACACCTTCTGTATGTACCCCCACCATTGTTTATCTGAGGTCTACAACTGAACATATGAAATGTTTACCTCTACCTTTTCTCAATGTTATTCTAGTCATCTCTTGGATCAAAGAAGCTAATTCTCTGTAGAGTCCTTAGGAAGAGCAAGTATGTACAGCACTCCAAGTTCATAAACTTCCAGACTTCTTTTCTCTGGCCTGCATTTTTGACAGCTTGGGTTGGTAAAAAATTTTTGTTTACCTATCTTTCATCAAGTTTCCTGAAAATGACGTTCACTGTTATCTTGGCTTGCATAATGATTTTGAGAAATCTGATGCCAGTCTATTTCTCTTGCCTTATAAATTATTTCAGCTTTGTTTTGTTTTTTTTTTTAAAACAGGGTCTCGGCCGGACGCGGTGTCTCACGCCTGTAATCCTAGCTCTCTGGGAGGCTGAGGTGGGCGGATTGCTCGAGGTCAGGAGTTCAAAACCAGCTTGACCAAGAGCGAGACTCCGTCTCTACTATAAATAGAAAGAAATTAACTGGCCAACTAATATATATAGAAAAAATTAGCCGGCCACGGTGGCACATGCCTATAGTCAGTCCCAGCTACTTGGGAGGCTGAGGCAGGAGGATTGCTTGAGCCCAGGAGTTTGAGGTTGCTGTGAGCTAGGCTGACGCCACGGCACTCACTCTAGCCTGGGCAACAAAGTGAGACCCTGTCTCAAAAGAAAAAAATATATAACCATAAATGTACTGCTGAGGATATATATATATATATATATATATATATATATATACACGTATCTCAGAAGTAGGATGAAGTATATGGGTTGGAGAATACACATTTTCTGTTTTAAAATGAATATTACATATTTAAAAGTTAAAAAATTGGAGACCAGATAATGGGCTTAAAATTACTCACAGATGTAATAATCTTTAATAAGTTATCTAATTTCTAACTATTTTAGAACTATAATTAATGTGACTCCTTTCATTATTTTTTACACCAACAAAGCATACTTCAGTTGGATCACTTCATCAAAAAGAAAGTAAAAGAATTGACCTACCCCTGCAGTTGTTGCTGTTGGTGAGAGGAAAGGGGCACTCTTGGTTTGTTCCAGCCAGTGTAATCCTGGTTACACCTCAGTTTTTTAACAGAAAGAGGAGCCGGCTGAGGAAGAAATCCCAAACTTCTTTTGGCAGAAGGAGTTTGGCTTGAAACATTAGTCCTATAAAAAAGAACAAATAACGAAGAAGCAAAATAAACTTTTGAATGCTATTCCCCCCCCCCCATAGATTCAATGACGTCAATGCCTAGGAAAAAAAATCTTAAACTTTGGAAAATATCAGTAATAATGATCAGTTGGGGAGAAATCCCCACAAATACAAATTACCAAGTTGTTCATAGAGAGCTGAAGAGGTATATAATACTGTACATCTTTGACCTACAATCGAATAATCCAAGTTAGTGGCTTCAGAAAAACTATATAGTTTCACTTTATTCACCTTTATCTACTTTGTGGATATTACATTAGTTTACCTAATCTTAAACAGATTTATAGTCATTTTTCCACTGTTACAAATAATACAACAAACATTCTTCCCTGATCTTCTTGAGAAATTCCTTTGGTTTATATGCTTGGAAGTGGAAATGTTAGGTGTATTTTCATTTTTAATTTTTCTAGATATATGTTTGTTTTCCCAAAAGGCTGTACCAATTTATATGTCCATCAATAATGAATTTCCATTTCCTCATGTGTTTACATTTCTAATTTGTACCAGAAGTTTTAACTTTTACCAGTATAGTGACACTTGATCTCATTGTTATTTTATTTTGCATTATCCTGATCACTACTAAAGTTGAACATTGTTTTCTCTCAATTGCTTTTCTACACTTAGTTTTACACTAGGTTCTTAATGATTTGTAATTCTTTATATAATATATTCTACATGTTAATTCTTTATCTATTACACATTCTAAGTTTTATATATATATATATATATATATATTTTTTTTTTTTTTTTTGAGACAGAGTCTCGCTTTGTTGCCTAGGCTAGAATGAGTGCCGTGGCGTCAGCCTAGCTCACAGCAACCTCAAACTCCTGGGCTCAAGCAATCCTTCTGCCTCAGCCTCCCAAGTGGCTGGACTACAGGCATGTCCACCATGCCGGCTAATTTTTCTATATATATTATTTGGCCAATTAATTTCTTTCTATTTATAGTAGAGGCGGTCTTGCTCTGCTCAGGCTGGTTTCGAACTCCTGACCTCGAGCAATCCGCCCGCCTCAGCCTCCCAGAGAGCTAGGATTACAGGCGTGAGCCACCGCGCCCGGCAAAGTTTTATATTTTTAATGTACTTAAATTCATCAATATTTCCTTGTTTCGGTTTTTGCATCTTGTTTAAGAAATCATCTTCTGTTATAAGGTCATAGAAATGTTTTCTCATTTTCTCTTAAACGTTTTCAATTTTATTTCCCCCATATTCAAGTCTTTAATCCACTTGGAAGTTTACTTTTCTTTATGCTGTGAGACAGGAATATGATTTACTTTTTTTTTTTTTTTTTTTGAGACAGAGTCTCGCTTTGTTGCCCAAGCTAGAGTGAGTGCCGTGGCATCAGCCTAGCTCACAGCAACCTCAAACTCCTGGGCTTAAGCAATCCTGCTGCCTCAGCCTCCCAAGTAGCTGGGACTACAGGCATGCGCCACCATGCCCAGCTAATTTTTTCTGTATATATTAGTTGGCCAATTAATTTCTTTCTATTTATAGTAGAGACAAGGTCTCGCTCTTGCTCAGGCTGGCTTCGAACCCCTGATCTTGAGTAATCTGCCTGCCTCGGCCTCCCAGAGTGCTACGATTACAGGCGTGAGCCACCGTGCTCAGCCTGATTTACTTTTCTATAATTGCTCCCAAATTACTTATTGTCTGGTTAGACCATGTATTACCCACTATTTGGTTTTTTACCTAAAAAAAAATACTGTGAAATAGAATACTCATGTGGAAAAAGTATATGCAAATCAAATGTGTAGCTTAACAAATTTTTGTAAAGCAATCACTTATGTAAACAAACATTCGTTTTCAAAACCCCCCAAGGACCCCCTCCAGTCACAATCCCACATTCCTCTACCCTAAAAGTTAACATTAGCTATTAGTTTTATCCCTTACTATCAACCCCTAAATATTGTAGTTTGGACAATGCATGTTTCCATCTTTTCACCTTTAACATTTCTGCATCTTTATATTGTAATTATTTCTCTTTTACATAGCATATGTATTTTTTCTTCCTTTAAATCCAGTATATCTCTTTAACTGAAACATTGTGTGTGTGTGTATAATTTTTTTTGAGACAGACTCTCACTCTGTTGCCCTTAAGACATGGAAGGTAAACTGACAAACCCAAAACAAGTCTCTTAATTTCATTTATATTTACCATTTCCTCTGTGCTGCATTCAATGATCACCCCTTCTTGACAACAGTTTCCTCTGCCTGGTCCTCTATCCTGTGCAGGACTTTATGTCAGTGGTTCATAATTCTTGCCACTATGCAAGTAACACTAAAGCAGATGCCAATGATTGCAAATTCCATTTTCACATCTTTGTTCTCTCTTCAGGGAGCATCACACAACCAGTACATATTTATGGTTTCAACTCCAGGTAGTTATATGGAAGTGTTTTGCCCTGCTAACTACCTCTCAGAGAGCTGTTCTACTAGATACCCAGCTTCATGTAGCTTCACATAAAAATCCAAATTCTGGGTGGAGTTACATTGAGTTCCCAATCTTGTGTCAGTTTTGAAGTCCCAGCTCTCAAACTTGACTCTAGTCTGTGTCTTATGGCCACAGCGTTTGCTCAGTATTAGTTTTCTCACTGATATGAAAATTTTCACCTTTAGTGCAAGCTAGCATTAAAAAAAATTTTTTCCTTAATCATTCCTACATGAGATGAATATGCTCACTTTATTATTTTGGGAAGAAATTTATAATTTATAATAAATTATTTGAAAACCAAATTTAGGTAGTTTTTTTTACTTAGGTTTAAGATTTTTCTAGCAAGCAGAAATGTCAAGCTTCCTCTCTCTTAAATTCAAATAACTTAATTATCTCCATAGTCCATAAATGCTTGAGAGCTACTAACCAAGGCTGAATACACCTAAATATAAAATATCAAATTCTTTACTTCACCTTAATCATTTTATATAAATAACCAAGTTGTTTTTTTATACCACTTTGAATTAAATTTTACTACAAAATATGAACAAAATATGACTTAATAGGCATCATATAGCATATATATTACAGACCCCATTAACCCCACTTTTTTTGTTTGTTTTTTGATACAAGGTCTTGATCTGTTGCCCAGGCTAGAGTGCAGTGGTGTGATCTTAGCTCACTGCAATCTCAAACTCTTGGGCTCAAGTGATCCTCCTGCCTCAGCCTCCCTGAGTAGCTGGGACTACAGGCACACACCACTGCACCCAGCTAACTTTTCTATTTTTTGTGGACACAGGGTCTTACTCTTTCTCAGGCTGGTTTCCAACTCCTGACCTCAAGCAATCCTCCTGCCTTGGTCTCCCAAAGTGCTAGGATTACAGATTTGAGCCACGATGCCCAGCCTTAACCTTTTTACATTTAAAACCATCACACATCTGTGCTGCATTCCATGATGATACCTTCTTAACAAGTGCTTATACATTGTCTTATATATTTATATCCAATAAATCTAACAAAAATTTTAGCTATATCTATAGAATTAGCAATTAAATTTCTGACTAGCCTTTTCCAATACAAGATACTGATATGAAACTTCTGATTTTTAAAGAAAACTCCTTAATTTTTGGATGGTAGCTTAACAAATGCATAGGCAACAAAGGCAACATAAAAACGTCTCAGTGAAGAGATCTTAGTATGTTCATCACTTGGAATAATGGAAAATATACCGGTCTAGAATCTAATAACACTGACAGTCACAACCTCATTACAAATCTTCCTAGACCTTAGTTTATTCATTTGTTGAAAAATTTTAAAAAGAGATCAAACTAAAACATTTCTAGAGTACTTCCTAACTAAAATGTCATGATTCTATGATTCTCCATCATTGTTATTTTAAATTGGGATATTCACATAGAGCATAATGCATAGCCTATGCTATTACATGATTCAATATTCTGAAAATGAGAGCTCTTCAAGTTTTTCACAAGGCATATAACCAATGCATACCTGTCTAGGTTAGTGACACCAGAAGAGTAGTCCTTGGATCCAGCTCTGCTACCATAAAAGGAAGATGACTGCAAAGGCAAAAGCCCTATAAAACAAATGAAAAAAGGAAAAATTTAATTCCTCAATCAGCCATTCAAGCTCACTTAATAATAAATTACACACTGGGCCTCTTTATATTTCTTTTTTTTCCTTTTTTTAATCAGAGTAATACAAGCATACCTTGTTTTGTTCCATTTTGCTTTATTGAGCATTGCAGATATTGCGTTGTTTTACAAATTGAAGGTTTGTGATGCTAGTAGTTTGAGCAAGTTAATCCGTGCCATTTTTTCTTTTTCTTGAGATGGGGTCTCGCTATGTTGCCCAGGCTGGAGTACAGTGACTATTCACAGGCATGACCCCACTACTGATCATCCTGGGAGTTTTGACCTGCTCCGTTTCTGACCTGGGCTGGTTCACCTCTCTTTAGGCAACCTGGTGGTTTCTAGCTCCCTGGAAGTCACCATATTGATATCGAACTTAGTGGGGACACCCAATCAGCATAGTGTACTACAAGCTAGGACTCCTTGGGCTCAAGCAATCCTCCCGCTTTAGGTTCCCAAGTAGCTGGGACCATAGGTACATGCTACTGTGCCCAGCCATTTTTACAACAGTATATGCTCACTTCATGTCTCTGTGTCGCATTTTGGTAATTCATCTGTTATGGTGATCTGTGGTCAATGATTTTGGTGTTACTTTGTTAATTGTTCTGGGGCACCACAAACCATACCCATGCAAGATGGCAAACTTAATTGATAAATGTTGTGTGTTCTGACTGCACCACTGGCCATTCCTGTCTCTCTCTATCTTCTTGAGCCTCCCTATTTCCTGAGTCACAATACTGAAATTAGAATAATTAATAACCCTACAATGACTTCTGAGTATTCAAGTGAAAGAAAGAGTTATACATCTCTCACTTTACGCCAAAGCTAGCCCTCTTCTGCCAAACAGTTAACCAAGTTATGAATGCAAAGGTAAAGTTCTTGAAGGAAATTAAAAGTGCTATTGCACTGAACACACGAATGATAGAGCAAAACAGTCTTACTGCTGATGTGGAGAAAGTTTTAGTCATCTAGGTAGAAGATCAAGGTAGCCACAACATTCCCTTAAAGCAAAGCTCAATCCAAAACAAGGACCTAACTCTCTTGAATGCAATGAAGGCTAAGAGAAGTAAGGAAACTACAGAAGAAAAATTGGAAGATACCAGAGGCTGGTTCATGAGAATTAAGGAAAGAAGCCATCTCCATACATGAAAGTGCAAGTTGAAGCAGCAAGTGCTGATATAGAAGCTATAGCAAATTACCCAGAACATCTAGCTAAGATAATTACTGAAGGGGGTTACTTTAAACAACAGATTTTCAATGTAGAGAAAGCAGCCTTATAGTGGAAGAAGATGCCATGCAGGACTTTCATAGCTACAGAGAAGTCAATGCCTGGCTTCAAAATTTCAAAGGACAGGCTGACTCTTATTAGGGGCTAATGCAGCTGGTGATTTCAAGTTGAAGACAATGCTCACTTACCATAGTGAAAATCCCAGGGCCCTTAAGAATTATGTTAAGTCTACTCTGCCTATCTATGCTCTATAAATGGAACAACTAGGCCTGATTGATAGCATATCTGTTTACAGCATTTACAGATTTACTGAATATTTTAAGCCTATTGCTGAGACCTAGTGCTCACACAAAAAAAGATTCCTTTCAAAATGCTACTGCTCATTGAAAATGCACCTAATCAGGCCCAAGCAAAGTGGCTCACGCCTGTAATCCCAGTACTCTAGGATGCCAAAGTGGGAGGATCTCTTGAGGTCAGGAGGTCACCATCCTTAGCAAGAGCAAGACTCTGTCTCTACTAAAAATAGAAAAATTAGCCAGGTGCAGTGGCATGCACCTGCAGTCCCAGCTACTCGGGAGGCTGAGACAAGAGGATGGCTTTAGCTCAGGAGTTTAAGGTTGCAGTGAGCTATGATGATGCCACTGCACTCTACCCGGGGCAACAGAGTGAGACTTTGTCAAAAAAAAAAGAAAAGAAAGAAAGAAAGAAAATGCATCTAGTCACCCAAGAGCTCTGCTAAGAGACGTACAAGGAGATTAATGTTGTTTTCATGCCTGCTAACACAACATGCATTCCTCAGTACATGGATCAAGGAGTTATTTCAACTTTCAAGTCTTATAATTTAAAAAATAAATTTCATAAGGCTATAGCTGCCATAGAGAAGATTCCTTTAATGGATCTGGGCAAAGTCAATTGAAAACCTTCTGCAAAGGATTCACTGTATTCAAGACGTCATTAAGAACATTCATGGAGGTTAAAATAGCAAACTTAACAGAAGTTTGTAAGAAGTTGATATCAGCCCTCATGGATGACTTTTGAGGGGGTTCAAGATTCAGTGGAGGAAGCAAACTGTAGATGTGGTAGAAACAGCAAGAAAACTATTAATAGAAGTGGAGCCTGAAGACATGACTGAATTGCGGCAATCTCTTTATAAAATAGATGAGAAGTTGGCTGAGCAAAGAAAGCAGTTTCTTGAGATGGAATCTACTCCTAGTGAAGATGCTGTGAACATTGTTGAAATGACAACAAAGGATTCAGAATCTTACATAAACTTAGTTGAAAAAGCATCGGTAGGGTTTGAAAGTACTGACTCCAATTTTGAAAGAAATTCTACTGTGGATAAAATGCTATCAAAGGGTATCACCGGCTACAGAGAGATCTTTTGTGAAAGGAAGAATCAACTTATGCAGCAAACTTCATTGTTGTCTTATTTTAAGCAATCGCCACAGACATCCCAACCTTTAGTAACCACTACCCTGATTAGTGAGTAGCCATCAGTATCAAGGCAAGAGCCTCCACAAATGAAAAGATTATGACTTGCTAAAGGCTCAGGTGATTATTAGCATTTTTTAGCAATTTAGTATTTTTAAATTAAGTATTTTTAAATGTATGCACATTGTTTTTTCCTACATAATGCTATTGGACACTTAACAGACTAAAGTATAAATAAATATAATTTTATACACACTGGGAAACCAAAAAATTTGTGTGACTTGCTTTATTGTAATATTAGCTTTTGGTAGTCTGGAACCAAATCCATAATATCTGCAAGGTATGCCTGTATATATGCATGTATAAAAGATCAAATACTGTGGAAAAAGTTCTAATAACAAAGCAATACTTCCCTGTCCCAAAGGTCTACACATTTTGCTTTTAATTTCTAACCATTTTTTCTTTTTTTTTTTTTTGAGACAGAGTCTCGCTTTGTTGCCCAGGCTAGAGTAAGTGCTGTAGCGTCAGCCTAGCTCACAGCAACCTCAAACTCCTGGGCTCAAGCAATCCTACTGCCTCAGCCTCCCAAGTAGCTGGGACTACAGGCATGCGCCACCATGCCCGGCTATTTTTTTCTCTATACATTAGTTGGCCAATTAATTTCTTTCTATTTATAGTAGAGACAGGATCTCGCTCTTGCTCAGGCTGGTTTCAAACTCCTGACCTCGAGCGATCCACCCACCTCAGCCTCCCAGAGTGTTAGGATTACAAGCGTGAGCCACTGTGCCCGGCTCTAACCATTTTTTAAAACTTACTTTTTCTGATTTCTTCCAGTGCTAGATAATGTTTCTAATGTTTTTTTGCTTATTCAACAAGTTTATTGTCTGACGTTTCTCAAAAATCCTCATAAAAAAGTTGCAGTTTGGTTTAGCTTTCAGCAGCCCACTCCTGAGCTCTGAGGAAGCTTGCCTTCTTTTGAGCTACCCGATCTTTCTTCTGGGCAAGGGACATTTTGGGACGGTTCCATCTCTTCTTCTTAACTTCTTTCTTATGCTTCTTCTCATAGACTGGATTATCTCTCATAGACTGGATTATCTCGTAAGAAAGCATGGGCTTTCTTATACATCTCCTCCATCATGTCTGGAGTAACATTGTTCTTTATGTATTGAGAAAACTATTTTTTGTAAGCATCTTCATCTTATTCCATTAGATAACGCATATAATCTGCAACATCCTGACCCATGATGTGCTTCCAACATTAAATTCCTTGCTTTCAGAATCATAACCAGGGAATCGTTTGGTACTGTGAAGAATAGACAAGCCTCCATCCACAGCTCCCTTCAGGGCCCCAAAAACTTTATTGCCAGTCGTAGTTCTGGCAAAGCCTGCATCCAAATAGCATGTAAAAGCACCAGGCTGCCCGTCAATGCTTTCCACATTGTATTCATCTCCTGTCACTTCCACTTGGCCTTCATAGATCTTATCCATGCCAAACCTACTGAGAAGCCTGTGGGCCAGTAGCAGGCCAGTACAATATGTTGCAGCATAATTTGTCAGGCCAACCTTCACACCATATTTTGGTAGTTCGTGTGCATAAGCTGCGCAGACTATCATATCCCCTTCTATACAGGCATAAGCAATCTGACAAACGATGTCTCTGTTACACGAACTATCATTCTGTATTTGGGTGTGTTGCACTTATTTTTATCCTGTATCACCAAACGTTTCTGAACATAGTAATCAGTTTTACCCTCTTGTCGTCTTCTGAATTTCACTTGGTATCTCTTAAGTAGGCCTATTCTTGACAACTTTAACAAACCCTATCCTGCCGAACAGAGACCCGCTTTCATGGCTCCACACTGACTTGCAGGCCCAGCAGCGCTGGGGGGGGGGGGGGGGGGAGGGTGCACTCTACTTTTTCTTGATTTATTCATCTTAAACAATATTAGTTGAGTCCTTATTATGGAAAATTAGAAGTTTCTCATTTACATTATCCCTACTCTTGTTCTCCTCTTTCCAACCAATTATTAGTTGTATTACTTTAGTTCTTCTACTGATTAACTCTATAACTTCAATACACTTAAAATTTCTACATTTTGTTCCATGAATCTTACTACTTGACCATCCACTTCTTTCCACATCAATCTTATTACTTGACCACCCACTTCTTTCCACTTTTGCAATAAATGTCTTAACTTCAACATTGTTAAGACTTACAACATCTTTAAGTTTTCTGTTTTTTCAATACAAGTTGAATACCAATAAAGCTGAATACCAACAAGTGAAGTTTATATCTTCTAAGTAAGTGTTATTGTTTCAGGGGTTAAGACATATTTGAGATGCTTCTTTCTGTAGGAGTCATTGTCACAAACCCAAACCACTAAAAAGAGAATATTCTTAGAGTCCTGATCAACCGGATTCTCTTAAACTACCAATTTATCAAAATCATGCCATATTTTAGCTTGCTTCAGTTTAATCTCTAAACATTTTAGAGGATCAGACAGATATGTAAGTGTGGGAAACATGAGACAAAAATTCACAGAAAGTCTAACTTTTAGTTTTTGTAAAAACAGGGTACAAGATAAGCTTAACTGCTACTATATTTAGGCAATAATTTCAAGATCTTCTGAAGCTTCTAATAAGAAACAACACTGATGAACTTTAATTTCAATCACCTTACTGCTCTGATTCATTCTGTTTCAGGTACTCTGACAACGAAAGAGCATAATTCTAGGCATTCAAATGAGAAAAGAAGGTAAAGACTGGATTCTTATTAAACCAAATATAAGTTCCCTTATATTTCTAATAATGTAAAATATTTTAGCCAAGTCCTTGGTAAAAATTGGTGTCCAAAAACTAGTACCAGATTACACAGTATTCCTGAATAATGAAGATATATATGTCCCGGTTTAGGTTTTTATTTCTAATCTAATACAATACATCATATAAAGAGAATCTCATTTATCATAAGAACAAACACTTACCTGATGTCCGATTTTCTTCTGACTGTTTCAAACTCAGCTGCTTTTCTCTACTGCTGGTTAAATACTTTCTTGAGGGATCTGTCATAGCTTTGTTGTTCCTACAGTGAATAAATTTAAAACAATATTAGTATAGGTATATAAACATATTGTTCCAAATTTTATAGTTGTCATTAAAAAATTTACATTTCAAGTGCTAAATCCATTGATATACTTGAAAGTCAGGCGACAAGGTTGTTAAAGCCTCAAGAGGTTGATGACTTAAACAAATGAGAATTATGATAGTGAGACCTCAAATCTACAAAAAAGTTAGAAAAATTAGCCAAGAGTGGTGGTGTTTGCCTCTAGTACTAGTTATTCAAGAGGCTGAGGCGAGAAGATCGCTTGAGCCCAGGAGTTCAAGGTTGCAGTGAGCTGTGATCACACCACTGCACTATAGCGTGGGAGACAGAGCAAAATTCCATCTTTTAAGAGAGAAGAAAAAGGAGAGAGAATTATGAAGATAACATTTCACTACCAAGTCAAGTGCTAATCCAATTGATGACTCTGGTAATTAAACAAAAATAAAGAAGCATTTTCTTTATACAAAAGTCAAATCAGAGATAGCAAGATCATATAGATTTTCTTGGCCAAAAGCAAAACCAGATGAAATGATTCAACTACTAACACCAAGAGAATTGATTAAAAAGTAAACTATTAAAGCTTGGTAGTTTACAGGTTTAAAATGTAAAATGAATTAAAATCAAAGTGTTCTTATATTCTATATGATTTGAAATAGTATTTACTAAATGTCAACATTATTTCAGTTTATAGTGATTAAAATATTTTAAGTTCATAAACACAAGATTAAAATTTCTTAAATAAGCCTCATTCCCACCGCCCCCCACCATATTATTCTCAAACACCTGAAACCACACATGTAGAGTGGCCATTCAAATACATATTCATTCTTTGGTTAAAAGTGCTAATTTAGGAGAATCATCATGAATTAAGCCCATAGCAGAGAGCTCAGGTCCTCCACCCAGATTCCCTCAGATTCCATTTTTGTGTCCTCCCTATCACACCCTCTCAGCAACTTATGTGTGTTTTTGATAGCCAGTTCCTAGGGCTCTTCAGAGGACTCCTCTCAAGTTATTAGAGATACTTTACCTATAATCTCAGAGTAAAGCCAGGTGTGCTAAAAGTACAGAAGCCCAGCTTCCTGGATTTGAATTATAACAACTTTATGGTGGAAGAAATAGATTTCTCCTCTAGGATCAGGATGAAGTCTACCCTTCATGACCTTGGTGACTTCTGTGTCACATCACACCCATGCTTCATTTCCTGCCCTTCACTATCCTGCCTACCTCACTCCCTTCTTGGTCTCCCCTGGGAGTACCTCCTTAATAATTCACTTGCACATGAATCTCCATTTCAGACTGCTTCTGGAGAATGTTCTCAACAACAGCTGGTACTAGCAGTAGTCCTAGGAAGGACTTTAAGAATAGGATTCTGGAATTGGACCACTTTTCAGCAATGGCAACAGAAATCCTACTGCTGGTGGTAATACCTCTGGTATCCAGTAGTGTTCCAACTGCTAAGATTTTCATCTGGGGTGAATTAGGATGGGATAGAAGAGGCTATGGCTCAGACAATATCTCTAACATTTTAGAAACAGAGTAAAATGACTATACAATGAATATTAATGGGGTGATGGAAACATTCTAAAACTGGATTATGGCCGGGCGCGGTGGCTCACGCCTATAATCCTAGCACTCTGGGAGGCCGAGGCAGGCGGATTGCTCGAGGTCAGGAGTTCAAAACCAGCCTGAGCAAGAGTGAGACCCCGTCTCTACTATAAATAGAAATAAATTAATTGGCCAACTAATATATACAGAAAAAATTAGCTGGGCATGGTGGCACATGCCTGTAGTCCCAGCTACTCGGGAGGCTGAGGCAGCAGGATTGCTTGAGCACAGGAGTTTGAGGTTGCTGTGAGCTAGGCTGATGCCACGGCACTCACTCTAGCCTGGGCAACAAAGTGAGACTCTGTCTCAAAAAAAAACAACAAAAAAACACTGGATTATGGTTATGTAACACAACTCAGTAAATTTACTAAAAATCATAGAATTATACACTTAAAATAGGTGAATATTATGGTATGTATATTGTACCTCAATAAAGTTGTCTTAAAAATCTCCCAAATTATTTTACTCCCTATATCCAAGCCTCCCTTCAAGAAGTACAGTCTATTTCTCCATCTCTTAATGGAACTGGTCTTGCGATTTCCTTTACCAAAAGAATGTGAGAGAAGTAACTGTATGAGTTCTGATCCTAAACCTAAAGGTGCCTTACAGGTTTTCCACTCACTCTCTTGAAACCCTGCCACTGCTATGTGAATAATTTTAGGCTTGTGTGCTAGATGGTGAAAGATACATGGCCCAATCACTCTCATCACCCCAAATGATAACCAGCCAATGCCCAGTCATGGATGAGGACATCTTAGACCAGCCAAACCCTAGTAAACTCATCTACTGACCAGAGATGCATGAGAAAATGAGAGTATCCAGGCACAATCAGTCACACTGGGCCCAGGTAAACAGAATCAACTGGGTGACCATAAAGCCATACAAAATAATAGTTACTATTTGAAGCCACTAAATTTTGGAGCAGCTTGTTAATACAACAATAGATAACTGATACAAGTGATATGGATTAAATAATAATCATAAAGACCATAGAACAGGTTGGTTGTTGTTACAAGTACTGATCTGCTCAAGAGAGATGATGACAGGCTCAATTAAGTCAATTACCAACTTAAGGAAAAAGACATTGTGTAGAGTCACTCACCCATGGGAGAGTTGCATTCCAGAACCTTAGTTTTCTAGAGCAAGACCATGCCGTTTATAGCAGAAAATTACACCTCATCCATAAAGTATAGCATACTATTCTTACATATTAGGCCCTGGAAGAGAGTGAGCATCTGACTATTCATCATCAAAGGACTATACAACCAGAGCTAACCATCATGAGCTGGGTGCTGTCATATCCATGAAGTCATAAAATCAAAAGAGTACAGCAGCAATCCATCATAAAATACAAGCAAGTATACTGGGATTGGGCCCAAGTAAGTAGGAATAGATAACAAGAACAGGCTTTATGGACATTCCCCTACAAGTTGAAAGAAGAGGAATAAATGTGGGCCTGATTCATGGATGGGTCATCTTTATCCAATGATAAAAAACTGAAAATGAACAACTGCTGCACTGTAGCCCTACTAAGAGACTGCCTAGAAAGACAGTGGTGAGAGGAAATCTTGCACTGTACAGAGCTTTAAGAGGTACACATCATCATCTACTTTGTGTGGAAAGAGAAGGAGGTCATGGGCTACTGGGTGGTGGCAAATGGTCTAGTTGGTCAGAGACCTGGAAGGAGCATGCCTGGAAGATCACAGAGAAATTCATGAAAAGGTATATGAACAGACATATCAGAGTGTTTATGAAAAGTGAAGATCTATTTCACATGTTAATGCTCACCAGAAAACAACACTAAAGGGACACTAAACAATCAGAAAGACAAACTGTCCACTGGATATCAGTCACAATCTATCATTAGCCATTCCAATAATTCCACAGTGGGCCAATGAATAATAAAACAGCCAAGATGGCAGAGATGGAAGCTAAGCATAGGTCTCTGCTTCACCAAGGGTTAGCTACTGCTGCTGCTGAATGTCCAGTTGGTTAGCAGCAATGATGCTGAGCCTATGATCCAATATCCCTTGAGGAAAGCAATCAGTGATTTGGTGGCAAATTAATTACATCCACCCTAGAAAAGACAGCAATTAATACTTACTAGGACTGCCCCACATTCTAGGTCACAGCAGATCCTCTTAGTTTCAAGATCCACAGTGAATGCCTGAAACCATGGATGGTACTCAACTCAATTGCCATCAATTGGAACACCCTTCTGCTCATGTCTTCCATGCACAAATCTGATACCTTTTCCAATTTTTCTAAGCACTTATCACAGACGTGGCCATAACTTTTGCAGTTTGAGATGCTACAGCAAAAGTAGCATGAATTTCTTTTTTCTTCTTCACAATTTCATGGACAGATTTGTTCTTACTGTACATTATCAACCTTAGCATCGATTTTTTTCCTTTCCTTATTAAGTCGAGAACTTTCACCTTTTCACTTAAAGGAGGCACTTTACAGCTTCTCCTTGGCACATATGAATTTCCAGCATCACGACTCTTGTGCTTTGGGGGCATCATTAAATAAAATAAGGGTTACTTGAACACAAGCACTGTGATACCACCATAGTCAATACGATAACTGAGACAGCTACTAAATGACTAACGAGTGGGTGGCATATACAGCAACAAAGGCATGAAGTGAGATAGCTGAAGATTTCATCATACTTCTTAGAATAGCATGCAATTTAAAATGTATGAATTGTTTATTTCTGGAATTTTCCATTTACTATTTTTGGACCAAGGCTGAACTCAAGTAACTGAAACCACAGAAAGTAAAACCATGGATAATGGTAAAATCATGCTTTTCCTGCTCCTAGTATTTTGACCAGCATTACTATCCAAGGACTCATGAAAAGTATCTCATTCACTGAAATGAAAACTCATATATTATTATCTTAGAACAAGGAGTCCACTCTGCAGAAAAGGAGGTACAATAAGGGCACATGACCACAGGATCCACTGGTCTTGCCACATACAGACAGTATTACCCCAAAGCTGCTGGCCTGATAATTCACTGCAATACCCTTTAAAAGTATAGCTTAAAATCCTATTAATAGTAATGACACAATCAATAATCCAATAACTGTCAAACTTTGTACTCTAAACCCTAAGAATAAAATAAATGTATATTTTTTGACCCTGAAAAAAAAAAAAATAGAAGTGCAGTTTAAAGATGATCTTGGCCAGGCCCAGTGGCTCACACCAGAAATCCTAGCAATTTGGGAGGCCAAGGTGGGAAGATTGCTTGAGCCCAGGAGTTTGAGGCTGTAGTGAGCTATGATGACCCCACTGCACTCTAGCCTGGGCAACAGAATGAGACCTTGTCTCAAAAAAAAAAAAAAAAAAATCTCATTAGGAATAAGATGCCCTTCAAGCTATAATATATACCTTAAATCAAGAAAAGATCATATAGCAATACTCTCTGTAAACAAAAAGAAAAAAAAAAAAACAGAAAAAAAAAAAAGGAGAGAGAATATATGGGTCCAGAATCAAGAAGTAGGTAGGAGTGGCCCCACTCACTATTATTATCTTTTAAAAAATTATTATATTTTTAATGAGATGGGATCTCAATATATCACCCAGAATGGTCTCAAACTCTTGCTGCCTCAGCCTCCTGAATAGCTGAGATTACAAGCACATACTACTGCATCTGACTAACACTATTATTTTCAATAATTCACCTGGACATTTTGTGTTTCCCATCTCTTCAATTTAGGTTTTGCAGGTCCTGATTCCCATGGGAGGGAACTTTTTCACCAAGAGGCACAGTAAGAGAACAATTAAACCTAAAGTTACAGCTGCTACCTAGTCATTTCGAGATCCTTATGCAGGCAGTTCAACAGGCAAAAAAGGAGTTACCATACGGACAGTGGTAATGACTTTAGAGGAATATATCTGGAATAGAGGGGACTTACTTGGATACCTCTTAGTGTACTCATGCTCAGTGATAGCATGGTTCTCATATAATTGTAATGGGCAATTATAGCAACCACAGCCTGACAAGTATAGGGTGGCCAGAGGCTCAGATCCCTCAAAGATGAAGATCTCAGTCACGCCAACAGACAAACTATCAAGACCAGTAGAAGTGCTAGTAGAGGATGCAAGAAATCTAGAATGGATAGTAAAAGGAGGACATAACAATATCAGTTACAGCCTCAAGGCCATTTGCAGGAACACACTGTATCTTATCCCACTAAAAGACTCCTTTTGTAATATTCTCCCCTAGAACTGGGAAACATCAGTGTGAAGAATCTGTGACAAGGCTGGGCACGATGGCTCATGCCTGTAATCCTAGCACTCTGGGAGGCCCACGTGAGAGGATTGCTTGAGCTCAGTAGTTCAAGACCAGCCTGAACAAGAGTGAGACCCTGTCTCTACTAAAAATAGAAAGAAATTAGCTGGACAACTAAAAATATATATAGAAAAAATTATCCGGGCATGGTGGCGCATGTCTGTAGTCCCAGCTACTCAGGAGGCTGAGGCAGAAGGATCGCTTGAGCCCAGGAGTTTGAGGTTGCTGTGAGCTAGGCTGATGCCACAGCACTCTAGCCTGGGCAACAGAGTGAGACTCTGTCTTAAAAAAAAAAAAAAAAAAAGAATCTGTGACAAGATAGAATGAACATAAGATGTGAGTGGATCTAAATGATATAAGCAGGAGGGAGGGAGAACTATAGTACCATCTCTAGGAGTGGACAATGGTGATGCTCCATCCAAGTCCTTAAGATCATTTTTTATCCTTTTCACACCCCCAGACTCTGTGTTTTCAACGTATTTCAACAGTCAAGCACCTATAGATCTTCAGAGGACTACATCTGAGCTACTTAAAACATTTTGCTCACTGGACAAAGCCAAAACCCACCAGGGCAGCTGGTAACCAAAGACTGTCTACCAGTGAATAGGAAAGCCTAGCTTCCTTGCCTCAAGTTGGTATAACCCCAGAGTTCCCTGGCTGGATTAAGATGCAGCCTCGTCTCTGTAAGCCCTTCACTTGAGATCACACTCTTGCTTGTCTTCCTCCCCCTTCCCTGACCTGCTTCCCCCATTCTGGTGGTATTCATCTCTCCAGTGAGCACTTTCTTATAAGCCACTTGTAAAAGTATATTTGGGTCTGTTTCTAGGGAGCCCAAACTTCAAAAAATCTAAATGGGATGCTGTAAAAAGTATTACTGGCCCAGAACAAGAATGAGTAACATAGCGCCCATTAGATAAAATTCCAAGTGCAACTGGGACTTCTCAAGTGTGCTGAATGTGGTGGACTGGCATGCAACCAGCCCACTACAGCCACCTTCTAGTGTACCTCCATGTTGTATAGAAACAAAAATGCTTTAAAAAACAAAACAAAACCCTACATTTCCTAGTTTATGTTCTGGATGACATTTAAAATAAAGCTATTACATGTAACATCTGGAAAGTGTAAGGTAGAGGGCTTACTGTTCTGCTATTTCTAATGTTAAATATCATCTTGGTTTTTCTGTACAGGATTTCAAATCTTGGCAATGGCCAAGATTTGAATCCAATTCAGATGTTGGCTTCATGACAGAATAGCCAGAAACATCTTTGGAGACCTGCTCTGGGGCATGGCTCTCAAAATCATTCCTGAAAACTTAATATAGAGCTCTAATATAGAGTATCTTTTCAGCTCTCCTAATGATTCTGTAAGCCATTTAATACTCATTGTGTGCAAATACCTTTGTGCATAATTTGGCTATGAATTTTGTTCCCTACAACTAGCTGTTGAATATATAAATTTGTTACTAAAAGTGGGGTGCTGTCATAACAAACTTAAAATATGTGGCACTGGTTTAGTAGAAGGGTAGAGGATAAGGACATAGATATTACAAACTGGAAAGCTGGTGATCATTATTATGCCTCAGCAAAATATTTGATAAAAACTGTCATCTGTTCCAAGTCAATGTCCAAGTTAAAAGAAAAAAAAAAAAAACTGTCATCTGTAATGTCTTGAAAAGCAGACCTCATACTCACTGAACCTATAGCTCTAAGAGAAAAGATTAAGACAATTAAGGACACCGGCCTGTGTTATTGTTTCTTATTGCTTTCAGAATGGTCCTATTCAAGACAGATAAATTCAAGCTAGACTAGTCAGCTTGTAATCATGGATGAAAAGAAACACAGCTCTTTGTGTCAACAGCCTAGAATCAAAATTACCTGATGATAATCTGAGACCATATAGGGTCAAAAAAATCCAACTGTTTCTGATTCAGAAACTGAGGCAATGATAAGAGTTAACTACAGAGGCAGTTTTGTCAAAAAACAACTCTGATATTAGTACTAGGGGAAACTGGGTAAGGGGCCTACAAGGACAGTCTATATTATCTTTCCAACTTTTTTAAAAATCTAAAATTATTCCAAAATAAAAAAGTGTATTGAAATAAAACAAAACAACAACAAAAAAACGAAATTAAAAATACTGGCCCCAATGCTTTCTCAAGCCTATAAAAGCATGGTTGTTTTACCTTTAAAGAATCTTTCAGACCTCTGGACACTTCCAAACTTTCATAAGTAAGCTACAAAAGCTATGTGGCCCTAAGGAAGAAGACAGTCTTCAAAATCTACTTTGGTGACGGGCTTCAAAGAAAACAGACAAGGAAAACCTATCAGAGAACAAAGCCAGGGATCTATGGAGTACAGTGAGGAAGGGCATTTCTCCAAGAAAACAGAACCAGACTGCCTGATGAGCTAACTAGGAACCTATTCCACTGTCTTCACTGTTCTCACAATTTCTAACCAGCAAGATTTTAACACTGCTATAGACCAGAGACTCCTCCAATTTCCTTTTATTAACTCTTTTGACAGACATTTTTATTGAGGTTATCCTGTTACTATTCTGGCTATGTATAATAACAGGTGCATGTGCTTGGGAGTGGGCAATATCGATTTACTTGCCTTTTAGTTTTTAGACATGAGACCATGAGGGACATGGTTCAAGGCACATTTGGACCTTATAAATAAGTCTTATAAAGAAGACTACATCCTGAGAGAAAGATCACCCAGAGATCCTAGACTCTGAGCTGGATATGATGTTCACATGAGACTTGGAACCTGTCTCCATTAGTATGGGGGTAAGAGTGTTCTACGTACAGGAAGAATGGTGAATGGGGTATTTCAGTGGCCAGAGGGGTAAGCAGATAGTTGTCCCCAAATAAACATTGTACCCTTGTGCCATAATAGTTAAATTTTGGCTAAGCATATTTCTCATAACTTGATATAATCATGTGACTAAGTTTTGGCCATTGTGACACGCACAAAAGCAGTGTGTACAATTTCCAGCAAAAGCAGTATGCCCTCCTTTTGCTCCTTTCCACTAGTAGGAATAGAAACATGAGAGTGGAGAATGTCCACAAAATGAAAGCTACTTGTTAAGGATGGTAGATCAATAAGATAGAAGGAATCTGAGTCCAGGGTGACTATAGTTTTAGATACCAGTCCTATTCCCTACCCAGACTTTTATACCTGTTACAGCAGTAAACCAATTAATACAAAGTTTCTTTGGCTTTTTTCCAACTCCTTTCTGGTGAGCCCTTTACCTCAAATACCAGTTAAATGACTATCAACTGATTTCTGTTAAGATATTATCTGAGGTATTAACTATGTAATAAGTTTTCTCTCCAACCAAAAAATAATAATAATAATAATCCTCACACGAGGAGGAAGAGGATTATGAGCTGGTGACGGTCCTGCTACAGAACTATTCCCTTTTGTTCAACCAAGAAAACATCTCTGAAATATTAATGCTCCTTGCTTAGAATCCATGTAGGTTCACAACCTTTTACCCCTAGGTTGACTTTTTATATGAATAAAGCAAGAAAGAATAAAAATTTTAAAATTAAGCATAAAGGGAAGAAAGAAGGAAAGGGTTCACACTAAAAACAGCAGCCTGCAAGAAACACCTGGTTAGAGTTCTTCCGTTCTATTCTTCCCCTAATTATTGCAGATTTAAAAAGGCAGGCTAGGGGAAATGCGATGAAATGACCAAAGCAATAGCAGTGGCCAAATACCCTCTCTGTTGAGCCTACAGTTTACGGTCATCAAACACTTTAAATCCTGCTCTCCTATCTTTGGAAGTCTCATAAATTAAACACCACTCCCCCAGTATTCCCCAGTGGTTATAATTATCAGTATAAGAAACACTGATCTAGTGTCATAAAGGCTCTTAAAGCAACTTACGATGATGAATCATTTTCCTTAGGGTAATCCTCACTCAACTCTGAGCCAGATGATAGCATTCTTTTCCTCTTTTCAGTCCTATAGAGAGTAGAAGGAAAAAAAGGTTATTTTAAAAAGTCATAATTCATACTATTAAAAATTATAAACCAACACACCCAAGGACAGGCACTATGACTACTGTTATCTAATTCTCTACACCATATTTAACACACCTACTGCCACACTAGAAAAAGATTTTTTTGGCCGGGCATGGTGGCTCATGCCTGTAATCCTAGCACTCTGGGAGGCCTAGGTGGGCGGATTGCTCGAGGTCAGGAGTTCGAGATCAGCCTGAGCAAGAGTGAGACCCCCATCTCTACTATAAATAGAAATAAATTAATTGGCCAACTAATATATATAGAAAAAATTAGCTGGGCATGGTGGTGCATGCCTGTAGTCCCAGCTACTTAGGAGGCTGAGGCAGGAAGATTGCTTAAGCCCAGGAGTTTGAGGTTGCTGCGAGCTAGGCTGACGCCACGGCACTCAATCTAGCCTGGGCAACAAAGTGAGATTTGTCTCAAAAAAAATAAATAAATAAAAATAATTTTTTTTTTCCTTGGGGCCATGGTGTTTTATTACAGAAATAGAATAAAACTTCAAAAACAAAATGATCCTTTCTAATTTAATGAAAAAATTATTTTTTATTATTTTCTGTGTGTGAGTTATATGCAACTTGAAAAATAGTTCTCGCTGCTCCCAAGGTGAAGAGACATGTGAGTTACCTATGCGTCCCAGACCCCAGGATCAAAACTAGCATGAGTTCAATACAACTCACATGGTAGTTTATGTGTTAAATATACTGTATATATGCATGCTCAATCCACATCACTGACATAAACTATATATGACAAATATTTATAATCATCTACCAAAAATGTGCTCTATACTTCTTTCTCTTCAAATTACTGATCTTTCTAAAAGGCCTAAAAGACATTTATAAACAGGTAAAGCTAATGAATAAGGAAAAGAAAAGTCTTTCCTACCGATTTTCTAGTAATCCTGATCTTAGAGGTGTTGATGTAGCTGTCAAAGAAGGAACCGTCCGGGTAACAGCTATTCCATTTCCTGCTACAGTTTTAATCGATCCTCTACCTGGATTACCAAGAACTTTTCGCAATGGCATATCATCTTTAGTTTCCAAACTTCCTCTTTTTGAAGAGGTCTGTAAGAATAAAGTTTGAGATAGTTAAATCTTCAGATTAATTGGAATACATCTAGACCAGTGACTCTCACACGAGAAGCTTTAAAAATACAAATGGAGACACATCTCTGAGATTCTAACCTAACTGGTCTGGGGTGAGGCTCACTCACCAGTACTGTTTTTTGGTTTGTTTGTTTTTTTTAAAGCATTCCAGGTGATTCTAATATATAGTCAGTGTGAGAAATTGTGCTTGACACTTATTTTCCTATAGCATTCTTGTAAACTTAAAATTCTACAGCACACCTGGAGGCAGAAGACAAGAACCCTGCTCTGAATTACTAATTTAAAAAAAGACACAGAAAGACAGGGTTCTAGTGACTAGCATGAGAACTAATCTTTGGAGGAAAAAATATCCAATTATGATTTTAAGTTAAGAAGCAGAGAAAGTAACATTTGCTTGTCACAATTTAAATACCAAGTCCTGTGTAATCAACTAAATAGTCGTATGACTCTTGAGGGGGTTCTAGTCTGGAGGAATAAAATAAATATATGCAACGAAGGGAAGAAGGAAGGTGAGAGAGAGTCCACTGACAAAAGATGAATCAAAGAATCTACCCTAAAGACACAGCAAGAACATTCAGAGAGAATACAGCAATGTACACGTTAGGAAACAGTGCTTTACACAAACATTCTGCCAGTAAAGTTTTATATCTCTATATTAAGAGCTATATGGTTTCTCTATGGAAAATAACTGCAAATTACTTCTTTTACAGAATTACAATCTTAGGTAGGAAATATAAAACTCTATATCTGGATGAATGGTTAAAAGTTAAATTTATTTTCAAATGGGTGATAAATTCTCAAGGTTCACAAATCAAATTTTAAAAGCCATAGACAGTGAGAAGTCTCACTATCCCTCCCCCATCCATCCAGTTCTTCACTACTCCCATTCTCCCACTCCTTGTAAGTATTTCTTCCTTGTTTGCCATGTAAATACAAATCAATATTTTATCTCTTTTTGTTACATAAATACATACTATACGTTTTCATTCTTTCAAATTGTGACATTGCCCATAGTAAGAAATATTCACATTTCACATCAAAATCTATTATATATACATTTAATATCAAATAACATTTCAGAAATCAGTATATATCCTTAGTGTGTATAATGCCCTCTATATGCTAAGTGAAGGAAACCAGACCCCTCTCCCCTCAAAAATTACACACTGATTCCATCTATATGAAACCCAGAAATACAACATGATTTATAGTGACAGAAAGCAAATCAGTAATTGCTTTGAAATAGGGACCAGAGAGAAGGATTACAAAGGAGGATAAAGACATTTTAAAGTTTATGGCTATGTTCATCATGTTGACTATGATGATGACTTTAAAGGTGTACACATAAGCCAAATATCAAATATATTTAAATATGTACATTTACTGTGCATCAATTAACTTAATAAAATGTCTCCCCAAAAATCTAACCTATAAAAAGGACCTAACAAGGCCGGGAGCAGTGGCTCACGCCTATAATCCTAGCACTCTGGGAGGCCAAGGCGGGCAGATTGCTCGAGGTCAGGAGTTTGAAACCAGCCTGAGCAAGAGCGAGACCTGTCTCTACTATAAATAGAAAGAATTAATGGCCAACTAATATATATAGAGAAGAAAATTAGCTGGGCATGGTGGCGCATGCCTGTAGTCCCTCCTGAGGCAGGAGATTGTTTGAGCCCAGGAGTTTGAGGTTGCTGTGAGTGGCTGATGCCACGGCACTCACTCTAGCCTGGGCAACAAAGTGAGACTCTGTCTCAAAAAAAAAAAAAAAAAAGGACCTAACAAAAATGAAATCTTATTCATTGCTTTATCTGGTAAATGCACAAAGTAATAACCTCTTTGCACAGCCAAAGGGAACTCATAAATTTACTTACAAAAGGGCTTCAGAGTTTCTCTTATTTTATGCCTGGTTTCCCTTTGCAAAACAAATTAAGAGAGACATAAGGACTGTTAAATTGTGATAAGATTATTTACTGGTGCAGAGCAAGTCTCACAGCTGGCTGCATAAGATTTATAAAAGAAAAACTATTTAAAAAGCAAACAGAAGACCTCAACAAAACAGTCTGTTATCATGTAGTGTAAAGGCAAAGTTCATAATTTAGGATAGACCCAAAGGGCATTAAAGAAATCATACCAACAAGCATTTATAGAGCTGTTAGTATACAGTCTATATATACAGTGGGCTAAACACTTTTACCTCCATTATCTCTTAACAACCCTTGAAATATTATTGCTGTTTCAATTTTACAGATGGGTACTGAGGCTCCGGATAACTTGAGGAACTTTCCCAATGACCCATAGCTAAGTGGCAGCACCAAGTCTTGAACCCACATCTAACTCCAAAGCTATGCTTTTAAAAACAATACTGTGGTTCACAATGTTGACCATGAGGTATCAAGCAAAGGTTAAGTTGTGTTTAGTAAAACTATATGTAAAAAGGGAAGAATGTGACCAATCTTAGAAAGATTTTCATAAAAATAATTGAACAGATTGAGATAGCTAAACCAATAAATTTCAGATATATGGAAAATACCCTTGTGACAATGCCAAAAATATTAGGCATTACAGTCTAAATTCTTTCTGCAACTACCTTATATGATGTCTACCTATGATTATCATTTTTTTTAAAAAGCCAAAAAGATTCAAATGAACATACCTGATTGTCCGAATAAGAAAGCTGCCTATTGGTTTCCTTCTGTGAGGTCCTACTGCCCAGAATGACTCCAAAACTACCAGACCCCTGAGAAGGTTTCATGGCTGATAATAAAAAATAAAAAAAATCCCAAATCACTCACTGTAATAAAAAGATTTATCATTATTATTTTATATAATATTGAAGAAATAGAATAGCAGGAAAAAGATAAAATAAATCAAAGTGCTTATTAACCAATTTTTCTGATAAAATGTATATCTGATATATAGTAACTAAAATTCAGAGCTAGAATCTCAAGAAAATAATTAAATAACACAAAAATCTGAAAAAAAATTTAATAGATGGATAAAATTCACAAAGCAAAAACAAAATGTCTGTCTAAAAGTACATTCAGAAAAAAAAGAAAATGCCAGAAATTCTCCTCTATAAATACTTAGCAATTTTTTTGTTACGAAAAACCATTACATTTTATTAGTTAAAATTGAGAACTATGATATATTCTGAATAAAACACTTGAACATTATTACAATGCTAATAGGTAAATGTGAATCATGTGGAAGAACAGTCTATAGTGGTAGCTTTCATTAAACTCTTTAATACAACTTTTCTCTCTTTAACTTCAAAAACAAGACTAATTTTTCATCAATCCTTGCTAAATAACTGCTACTGCCATTGAAAAAAGAAAGTGACTGTCATTTCCCATGCATTATTCCTACCACAGTCCCTAATAACCTATTACTCACTTCCCATAAAAATTCCAGTGTCTCTAGATTGTATCCTGATCTATTTCAGTGAATCAGTAGGACATTTCTTTCCTGTAACCCACTATGCTCTTCTTTCAGGAGAAACGTGAGCTGAATGTGTTAAGAATGATGACTGATATCATAGTTTTGTTATTCTCTGCCTGCTGTCATCCTCTCTGTATCAGTAAATATTTACTCTCAGAGAAGACATGGTAGCTCATATCTACATACCAGCACTATGGAAGACAGAGTTGGGAGAAATGCTTGAGTCCAAAGTTCAAAACTAGCCTGGCAAACATACTGCAACCTCATCTCTAAAAAAATTTTAAAAATTAGCTGTACCAGGTACTGTGCACTTGTTGTGCCAGCTATCCTCAAGAAAGACAGAAAGACAGCTTCAGCCTTTGAGTGTGCAATGAGCTATGATCATATCACTGCACTCCCTGGGCAACAGAACAAAACACTATCCCCATTTAAAAAAAA